ATATGGCTACATTTACATCTTCAACTCTGAATTTATCCTTATTTATATAACTTGTTTTGCTGCAAAAGTTTTAGTTCCATTTATCATTTTTGTGGAAGGTATCTGTAACTTGTTATATAAAAATTATTTGAATAACAAGATTCCAAAATCATTGCTAATTTGTTAGAAGGTATACATATGTATATACGGTCCATTTCTTTCTTTTTATTATTATTTTATGTAATTATACAAAGGGAATTTATTTCAATATTTCTCCACATACTAATAATATTTTTTATTAAATTCACCCCCTCTTACTCTTTCTCATCTTTTTTCCCCTTTTTAAAATGATTTTAACAAGTTTCATAATTCTATTGTCATACCTATGTATAAAATAAATTGATTGTATACACACCCTTTGCTCTCTGCTTTCACCCACTCCCATCACCCATCACTCCAATTCCTATCACCCAACAGCCCCAATTTTACACTCCTGTTGTTCAGCTTTTTAACATCTAATTTTTGCATATGAAAAAGAAGTTGAGATATTTGTCTTTCTGAATCTGAATTATTTCACTAAGCATGAAAATCTCCAGTTCTGTTAATTTTCCTGAAAATGACATAATTTTATTCTTCTTTGTAACTCAATAATCTCCATTGTCTGTCTGTGTATCTATCTAATCTCCATTGTCCTTAGTTATTTTTCACTTGATGGACATCTGAGCTGATCCCATAGTTTGAGTATTGCGAGTAGGGCATTATAAACACAGATACCTCAGTTTTATGCTGACCTACAATCCTTTAGATTTATGGTCATGAATGGTAGACCTGGATAATATGGTTGTTTTACTTTTAGCTTTTGGAGGAATTTTTGCACTGATTTCCATAGTACTTTTACTAGTTTATATTCTCATACGCAGTGTATAAGGATTACTTTTTCCTCTACATCCTGACCACCACCTGATGTTGTTTGTTTTCTTGATGATAGCCATTGTGAATGTGGTGAGACAGAAACTTAGTGTAGTTTTGATTTGCACTTCCTTTATGGCTATGGATATTACATTTAATGTACTAGAAAAACAGCAATAGAATTAAGGTGTTTTGGAAATGTTGAAGAATGTAAAAAAGACCAGTGTGGCTATCCAAAAGCATCTAAGCATATGGAAAGACAAAAAGAAGTGTGGTAAAGAGAAAAAATATATCTGACACAGTTTAGGTTATGCAATATGCCACATTAAAATTTACATGCATTGTTCAAAGTGATCTATATCTTTACAAAATATAATATTACCTAATTTCATCAATAATTTAATTGAGGTTCATATAATTATTGCAAATTACTAAGACAGTGAAAAACTGTCAAGATTGGTATGTCACCCAGCTTTTGCTGAGTCCAAAGATATAACATCACTATTTCTTCCAGTGTACTGAATTCTGATAGTAGAAAGTGAAACTTGGACAAATTTTGGAAGATTTCTGATTAACAAATGAGAAAAATAGACATTTGCCTAAGAAAAATAGAGTTTTATTTAAGCTAGGAGGGAGTGATATGATCAGAAGTGTGCCTTCACAAACCAGATCTTGCATCCTTCAAATCCACATGGTCTGAGTTGGAACTAGTTGAGTTTTTTTTTTTTTATATTACAGATTGGATTCTAAGGAACCATAACATTCATCTGTGGCAAAGTTCTTCAGTTCAACTTGCCAAAGAAGTCTTATATTCTTCCTGTAACACCTGAAATAACTATTCTGGAGAAAAATGACCAAAAGCACAGTCATTTTCCCCACATTAAGTTTAATTCTAAATGTGCCTCTTGAGACCACACCTTCTGCCTGACAATTTTCATCTCCACTTTTCTCAGTATTAGTAACAATTTGAGTATAAAATATGGGCATTGATCCAGAGCACAAAAAATACTAAAATGATCATTTAAAAACTACAGACTGAGAAATCTTTGCACTGCCCTGTAAAGAATCTTGTCCATAGGTTATACAATTAAATTATATAAGAGGTTGGAAACCAAGAAGAATTCCAACAGCAACATCTCTGAGTTTGTCAGCACTCAAAGAGTCACAGATTGGATCAATTACAGATGAGTTTTAATGGAGGCTTCACACCACACATGTAGTAATTTATTTGATTATGATGTCACAATATAAATTGAGCAGTGCAAAAACCCCACATTCTATTAACTAAAAAGATGAAAGTTCTCCATTTAATGAAGAGTGGAAAAGAATCATTAACTGGGGTCACTAAAATCTATGAGAACAATGACTCTTCTGTGGAATTGTGAAATAGAAAAAAATAAATTTTTGATAACTTTGTAGCCAGATTTCAACCTCAAAAGATGAGGCCATAGTGTGTGGTAAGTGCTTTGTTAAGATGTAAAAGACATCAAATTTGTGTATGTATTTATGGGAAAATCACTACATATAGGGTTTGTTGCTATCTGAGATTTCAGGCATCTACTAGGGTTCTTGGAATGTATACCTCATGGATAAGGGGGAGTTGCTGTACTACTATTCATAGGTAAGTTCTTGTATAATGTTAATATAATTTTAAGTGGAATAAAATCATGTCATTAAGATTCTTCATGTACTTTTTTTTGACCAAGTTTATTTTATTTCATTGGGAGATATGAAACAAGCATACAATGAAGTTTCTGTTTCAAATTATATATTAAAATATATATGTGTATATCAGATTGGGTAAGTTGGATTTCTATCTTGATTTCCTTCCTCTAAATTCATTGCTTATATACAAAGAAGCTGTAGTTTTTACGCATTAATTTCGTGTCCTGTTACGTTATTGAATTTGTTTTTCAGTTCAGTTTTTAATGAAATCCTTAGGTTTACATATCTATGTCTATATCTATATATATCTATATAAACTCATGCAATCTCAAAGCACAGATACTTCACTTCTTCCTTTCTTGTTGTGGTATGTCCACCTGTATATAATACATTGAGATTGAGTGCTTTTATCGGAAAATGATGTTGTATATTGTCAAATGCTTTTTCTGCACATAGTGAGAAGAACAAATTATTTTGTCCTTTATCATATTTATATGCTGTATTATTTTTTTGACTTGAGTATTTTAAACTCTCCTTCCATCCCAAAGGTATATAGCTTCTTTTGTAGAATTCAGTGGATATAAAACTGATCATTTGTTTAAAAACACTTTTTGTAGGGCAGAGTACCAGAAACCATCAACTATTTAAAACTAATTAAAAGTTCTTATCTTTTTACTTCAGATGCTTTTTTGGATCAATCAGGAATTTAACATTTTAAGAGATAAAACATATAAAATTTGTTCCTAATATTGAATTACTTATTGAGGAATATAGAGATGTTCAAAGCACTGTGTATGCCTACCACCACATAAATAATAATAGAAACAATTGTATTGCAATAGACCTGTCATTCATGAGCATATTATTTTAACCTTTCTACTTCCTGTATTATAAATATTCTTGTATTGAAAGTGCTAGTTAAAAACTGAAAATCAAAAAATCACAAAGATCAATCAAATTGGTCAAATTAAGACAATAAACATAAGGTAAAAGTAGAAATTCTAGTTTTTTACTTAAAAAAAAATACTACTCTTCTTCCACCACTCATTTCAGTCCATGTGACATTTGCTGATAAGGAGAGAAAACATCAATAACGTTGAAAACAACTGTCTCCACTTTGAGCATTTTTTTGTTTCATTTGTTGTATGGTTAAAGGAGTATTTTGTTAAAGCCTACAAAATTAAATTTCCAACATATTTTTGTACAAGAGAATTAGGATGTCAATTATAAGTTGCTTTAAAATTTCTAATGACAATTTTTCCATTCATAAAATGATATTGATTAGGAGCAATTATTGTGTACAATAGGGCAAAAACTTTATCTTCAGGGAACGTGGTAGGAGGTCTGAGGTAGGAAAAGATTGAAGGTCCAAAAACTAAAACAATCACAGTGATATGAGACCCATAGGTAGAGAGGGCTTTTCATCTTCCTTCGGCTGAGTGATTTCTTAAAGTGAATAAAATAATGACATAAGAAACAAATAAAACCACAAATGTCACTAGCGTGACTATTGGCATGCACAAGGACACCTTTGATGGAAGTATCAGTACAGGCACCCTTCAGCAAAGGAAAAATATCACAGAAGTGTGATCAATTTCACTAGGTCCACAAAAGGGTAACGTGATTGCAATTGAAAATTGAGGAAAGGAATGGGCAGCCCCACCACCCAAACAACTAAAATTAAGAGATTGCATTTTGCCCTACTCATGATAACCATGTACTGCAGAGGTTGCAGATGGCTACATAGTGATCAAAGGCATGACTGTAAGGATAAACACTTCAATAATGCCAAAGAGGTGTATGGTGGCAAAGACCTGAGGCAAGCAGCTGCCATAGGAAATGGTTTTCCTTACTTCTAGTAAATCTCCAATGAACTTGGGTGTCACACAGGAGGTAAAGCACATATCCATAAAGGACAAGTGGCTAAGGAAATAGTACATTGGTTGGTGAAAAAAAGGCTGCATTTAACGGATGAGAATGTTTCCCAGCAAAAGAGCAACATAGTAGGATAAGAAGAGAACAAAGCAACACATTTGTACGTTGTGGTCATAAGTGCATAAATTTCCAGGGAAACCTTCATGCCTAGAGTACAAATATCAATAAAATTGGTGACCAGTGAGATCAAGATTGAGACCAGGTTGCCAATAGAATGAAACTTGATGGAATAAATGTTTGGGGGAATGGAGGAGAGAACAAAAGAAAAAGATAACATAGCAAACATTGTGTAACCCATACTCTATGATGATAGAAATGGTATATCATTGGTAACACAATGAAAAAACAAAATCGAATGAGTATCCAATATAAAGCAGAACTTTATTCTGTTCAGTTTTTCTCTGTTTTGCTACTTTATTCCTATGTGTAATATAGGATGACCCCAATATGTGTATGCTGAAGTTCAGTTAATCAATTCCTCTGTCTCATATACAAACCCATACATTAAGCATCTATTCTACACATGTAAAATTTCAGAGAACCCATTTTTATCTTATCTAGTTTGATGTCTTAAATTGATCATCTCTGCTCTGTATGTATGATAGTAAGTAGTAAGTAGAGTTTGAACAACATCCCAGTCACTATCCTTTTCACTAAGATTCCCTTATTTTCCATATGCTTTTCTAGGATCAAGAAAGTCTGCTCTGCAGATATGAGCTTATTTTATGTATATTGTTCCACTGTAATTTACACTTGTTTGTCTTATTTTAGAGTATAAATTATATGGGTGCCCTATCTATTGCCAATGAAACATTGTAATTAATATATAAAGGCAGTTTTATCGCACATATTTCTGTTATTATTAATTTTTTGATTGTTAAAATGATCTCATTAAAATAAAATTTTAAAAAATCTTCCCATTTCTTCATCATTCTTACATATAATGTTTTTATTGTTTAGACCATACTCAAATACATTTTTCTGTTTATATTTGCAGAATAAATATGCAATGTCTTGAGCAGAGGAGAAAAAAGTAATTGTGAGCTCTAATTAACAATGATTGGACTAGTATAAAGGGAGGAAAATACTCAACAAATTGTGACTGTGGCCAAAGAAGGAAATCATGACTCAAAATGTTGAAGAAAGATACAGATAACAGTTGCAGATCAACAAAAATGGAATATGGTTGCTCAAAGAAAATTGCATTATTAACAAACTGACAACAGTTTCTGTGATTATTTATTATGGGAAAGCAATTACTATCATAAACTAATAAGGAAGAAAGTTCCACTCGAATGCCCTGAGTGATGAGAATGAAGGTCTGTCCGTTTCGTATAACTTGCTTTCCAGTCAAAAATGGTTGCTGGCACCAAACTTTTCTCAGAGATTTCTTCATTTCCATGTCTCTCAGTGTGTAGATCAGAGGGTTGAACATGGGAGCAATAATGGTGTAGAAAAGAGCAAACACATTGTCTTCTGGAAGAGTGGTGGCTGGCCTAATGTAAATGAAGAGGACAGACACGAAAAGAAAAACCACAACTGTTATGTGGGAACTGCAAGTGGAAAGAGCTTTACTGCGGCTCTGTGCTGGGTAAGCCCTGATTGTGTAGAATATCAACAAGTAAGACAGCATCAACACCACAAAGGTCACCAACCCCATCATGCCCGAGTTGGCAACCACAAGAATTCCAACTCTGTACATGTCAGTGCAGGCCAGTTTCAGCAAAGGGTACACATCGCAGAAATAGTGGTTATTTGATTGGGGCCACAGAAGGGTAGGTTGATAGTGAGGAGAAACTGGACAGAGGAATGCAGAAATGCCCCAGCACAACAAGCAGTGGCCATGGCATTGCACCTCTGCCTGCTCATGATGATGGTGTAGTGCAGGGGCTTGCAGATGGCCACATAGCGGTCATAGGCCATCACTGTGAGGATCAAGATCTCAATTCCCCCAAAGAAGTGCATGGCAAAAAGCTGTACCATGCATCTGATGTAAGTAATCATGTTCTTTTCTATCAACAAGTCATTGACTAGCTTGGGTGTCACTGTAGAGGTGTAGCAAAGGTCTGAGAGAGCAAGGTAATTAAGTAAAAAATACATGGGTTGGTCAATTAGCTGACTACATGTGATAGAAATAATTATCAGTGTGTTTCCCACCCAAATAGCTATGTAACAAAATAAGAATAGTAGAAAGCATAGATGTTTAATTTTCTTATTCTGAGAAAGTCCCAAGAGTATAAATTCTGTGACATTATTGGTATTTTCCATGGTCCAATACAGGTAAGACTCAATGGATTTGACTGAAAAAAAAAAACAGACATGTAATAATGAGTGTTTTACTTAGCATGCTATTAGTCATTACGATTATTGTAGAAATAAATTCATTAATTTAAGCAACTCTCTTAATATATTATAAAGTAGTTTATTTGTAATTCTCATTTGGAGTAGGCAAACCATTTAATTTATCATCCTAATTAGGTTAGTTTTTACAGTGAGAAGAAGTAACATTAATACTCATACTTGCTAAAGTCATTAACAAAGTTTTTCAGGAACATTACATATGAGATACATAGGTGACCTTAGGGACAATATGTTTTAGGTCCCTGCCTATTTGTTATGTTGGGACACTAGAGTGAGGACAATGAAGGGAATTGTGCAAACAGGAAGGAATCACACCTGTATTTGAAATTTTAGATTTTATTGTGAAAATTTCATTTTACACATTCATTAATGTCCATTAATTATACAGAGTGGGTTTTTGGTTTTTTGTTGCTTTTGCTTTAGTTTTGGTACTACTGTAGATCAACCTCAGGGCCTTGAGCTTGTTAAGGAAGTGCTGTAGAATTTGACCATATCTAAGCCTTTTTGTATTAGTTATTTTTCAGATAGGTTTTGTGCTTTTGCCCAAGTGTGATTTCAGACTATGATTCTCCTACCTCTGCCTCTCATGGAGAAGGGTTTGCAAACATGCACAACCATGCCTGTCCTGTTTTTTGAGCTCTATTCTCTCTATGTTTTCTGAGCTTATCTCAAATCATGATCCTCCTACCTCTGCTTCATAAATAGCTGGATTGCAAGAGAGAATCTCTTGCCTGATCCTTTATAAAGGTGTTTTGTAATTTTATACCCTTAACAGATATGTAATATGCTTGATTAAATTCACCTGCTCCACTCTGTTAGTCTTTCTTACCACCTCTCCCCCTATTTTTTTACAATTTGAACGGGCTTCATTGTTGTGTTTGCATAATGCATATAGAATAAGGTGATTATATTCATTCACCCTGCATCACACTCCTCTTTGGTCCTCCCAACACCTTCTGGTTTGTATTCTGAAACAGTCCCTCTTTTACTTTCATATCATTTTATATTTTGGGTCTAGGTTCCAGATATGAAAGAAAACAGAACAATACATTGTATCTAACCATTATGGAAGTGGTAAGGAGGTACCCTAATAAACTAAAAACAGAAGTGTCATGGGATCCAGCAATACCACTCTTAGGGTGACATACCTAAAGGAATATAAATCAAATTACAATAAAGACACCTGCAAACCCATGCTTATTGCAGAATTATTCACAATAATTAAACTATGGAAACAGCCAAGATGCTCCACAATGCATGAATGGATAGAGAAAATGTGGTCCATTCAACCCCTTCCATTACTTTTCCTTACCCTTAGCTCCCTTTCTGCATTTTTCCACAGCTTTTAGTACCTATCCTTGTATCCTCTACCTTTGTAGATATTATGTATTAAGATCTTGCTGATGCTCTATTATCCCTTTTCCTTTCCCTCCTTCTCTACTCTCAGCAGGGACACATGGAGAAGCTCCCATGAATATCGATTTAGACAAAAACAACAAAAGACAGGACTGAAAAATACGAACAGTGTGGGTAGGTACTTGTAGGAGGTGGAAGGGTGAACGAAGGAGATTAAGATGAGAGAATATGGTTGATGGACTTCATATATGAAATAGAACAAAGCAACTATTTGTAATTGCTTTAAATGGGGTGAGGTAGAGGTTGAGGGGAAGTGAAGGTGGTGGCCATCTAACCAATGTACAGTTTAAGCCAATTTGGAATTGTCATAATAAATCCTCCAGTGTACAACGAATATAAAGAGTCTAGTTGCAAAAAGTTTTGTTGAAAGAAAATATATCCAATAAATATTTATTTTTCTTCATAAAAATAGTAAAAATTAAAGATAAATTTAAAAAAGGAAAATGTTGGATTTTATTCAGTCATAAAGAACAAAATTTTGTCCTTTGCAGGTAAATGGATAGAATTGGAGAACATTATCTTAAGCGAAGTAAGCCAAAGGCTCTCTGAATGTAGAATATAGTTCTAATACAAATTTCTCTCATATGTGGAATATAGTCCTAATACAAATACAAGTCACATTATGAGAAATAGGTTACACTATGGGGAGGTCACTAAAGAGATAAGAAATGAAAAAGCAGAAAGTTAAGAAGGTGAATATGGATGATACACTTTCTATACAAGACTGAATATGGATTTTTAAAACCTTTTGAAATCACCATAAGAAAGGTGTTAAGGTAGTAAAAGAGAAAAATAGAGGGGATAAACCAATTCAGGTTATTATACATATATACAAGGAAGTGTCAAAATGCAACACCCTGGATAGCTATCTTGAACAACAAAAATGTCTTTTTTTTTTCAATATTATAGAACAGAAAGCAAAACAGATCCTGTCTGAGGGAGATAAGGAAAAGGTGTAGGAGGGTAAATTTGGTAGACATATTATGTACACATGTATGAAAATTGAAAACTGAGAACTGTTGAAAGTATTCCAGGAAAGGGGGGAAGAAGGACAAAAGACAATGATGAAGGGGGTGAACTCAACTATGATATTTTGTAAGAACTTTGACAAATGTCACAATGTACCACCGCACAACAATAATAAGAAGAAAGATTAAAAAGAAACATTATGTCTTGCTAAGTAAATTGTTTGCACCCTCATTCAAGTACTGGTCTTGGATGGAAAAGCATTGCATATTTATTAATATTGTAGAAAGCAAAAAGGAAGAACATGATAGCATATAAAATATAAGTGACTATGATATTCTTTTGATTTATACAGATTAAAAATAGAAGTTATTAAGCCCATGAAGTTGCAAAAGGAATGCTTGCTTTCAAGGGGAAGGTACACCAACATCCAAAGCCATAAATGGCACCTAGCACAAGTACAACCTTAATTACTTTTCAGATAAATGAATGATTACATGTATTATTTCATGTTTTCTCTTCTTTTTAAATATGGCTAAATTATTTCTTTTATTTATAATGATGATTCTGTAAACAGTGCAAAGAAATTTTTTTCTGAATACCTCATTCATTTTTAGTAGTCTATAATCTGAAAATCATTTTACGGTTTATAAATAATCTTAGTTTAGGTTATTGATACATTCACTTCCAATTAATTTTTTTTTGTAGTTAGAAGGATACCTTGGGTCCATTGCAAGTATCTTAGGTAACTAATATTTTTCTCATTCTGCCCCTAAAATATACATGAGTTTTTGTTTTGTTTTGTTTTGTTTTTTGGTGCTGGAGACTGAACATAATTCTTCAAATATGCCAGGCAAGCCCTCTTCCTTTGAGCTATATACTTAGCAGTATACTTGGTATATATAAATACATGGACAAAAATGTTATAAATTAAACTCAGGGTCAGATGCTGGTAGCTCAAGCCTGTATTTCTAGCTATGTGGGAGGCAGAAATTGGGAGGATGATGATTCAAAGTCAGGCCAGCAAAGAAGTTGATGAGACCCCCATCTTAACAACTAGCAGGGCACTGTGATGTGAGCCTGTCATTTTAGCTATGGCAGGAAACCTAAAACAGGAAGATCTTGGTTCATGCCTACCTAGGCCAGAAGTGAGACACTATCTCCAATATTACCAGAGCAAAATGTGCTGAGGGCATAGCTGAAGCAGTAGATCACCTGCCAATAAGCAAGCATGAACCTTGAGTTTGAAAATCAGTATTGCACCCACACTTCTCCCCCACCGCATCAGAAAATTTCCATTAGTTAGCAAGCAAGATAGTTTGATAATATCTGTCTTTCTCATTCTCCCTTCCCCTTTCATTCTCATGTTAACAAGATTCCATACTAATACAATGGGCAAATAATTCAACTGCTATTTATTTCTATTACTTTACTGTTCTTTGTGTTATTTACTTTATATGTCAGAGAATACAGTATTACTTCCACCTCTATTTCCTATTTCTTTCTTTCTTTCTTTTTGGCAGTTCAGGTGTTTGAAGTCAAGGCCTCATGCTTGCTAGGCAGGCATTCTAACACTTGAGTCACTCTACCAGACCAATATTTCCTATACTTAAAATATAAGAATTATACCATTCTTTTGAGAACCCCAGAGGTTCTGTTAATGGTTGATTATTTGATTTTAAAGTACAATTCAAGGATGTGTGGGATAATGATCTGTCTTTTCCATGCCTCATTTATACAGAAATGCAATTTACAATACCTGTAGAATATTTTGCATCCTCCCTCCTGCTCTGAGTCCTTCCTCTTTCCTAATAGTAAAATATCATAATACAGCACCATGCTTGCTTCCTTGAGGGTAATGGAGATATTACATCACTGTTAAAATAACTCTCTACCTACATGTAAATCATTTGATTTACCATGCTACATTAACTCTAAAAATCAGTTTTTATTACACTCATGTTCAAAGCCCATCACTTGCTCTTTCACCTTTAGGAAGATTTCCTTGGCTCTTTAAAACTGGCAATCTTTCCTTCATCCTAAAAGACTGACATTAATCTCATTATTAACAGTTAAATTTGAAGAGCTAAGTGTTAATTATTATTTAATTTCTTCAAGGTAGTTCTTCAGACCGGCAACAACAGCACCTTGGTGTTCACGTATGAATTTCAGATTCATGCAGGAGGTTCTGTCACTTGATCTGGGACAAGATAATGAATTTGCCTAATGCTGTTTGCCTCTCTCTTCAATATGAGTATTTCAATTACTAATTATCATGGGCTGCTTGGGGTAAATTGTATGGTACTTTGTAGATCATAGGATATAATTCATCTTTCTTTTATTTTCCTTTTTTTCTTAACATTATGCAATCATTAGGTACCCAATACATAATAAAACGAAGAATAAAGAAAAGTACATTGAAAAATTAATAGAAAAAGTAACACCAATAACATTCACATTAAATTGATTACTATTGAGAACTTACATATACTGAAAAGAGAAATAATTATATTAACTAGTAATTA